CCCGAAGAGATAAGGTGTCGAACGATGACCTGCAATCCGTAAAGGAACCATATTGTCCACCAGACTGTGTCCGAGTGCAAGAGCAAGATGATGATTCAGATGAAGAAGAAGGATCCGACGACATTCCTTTTCCTAGTTTCTTCAATCAGCTCGACGAAGATGTGACAGATGAAGAGTTCATGTTCCTTGAAGCCACGATGCAGGGGTACTCGTTTGATAGCATCATGCTTAAACGGAAGAAGCAAACGGAAGATGCTGACACGGTGGAGCTACCAATTCCTACCAATGATTGCGAAGACCCAATGGGAGCGGAAGAAGACTTTGTTGAGTATACTGTTCACATACAAAGTCATACCGTCGCGGACGCAACCGGTGCCGGAATAGGCCATGGTCAAAAGCCATTTCACATTCGTGATATTGTTGAGGTTCTGTTGACTAAGACTACCGCACGAGCCAGGGAAGCAATTTTTGAATACAACAAAAGGAGCGAAGGTGCATGAAGCAAACGGATCTATCGCTAGTATCTTGGAATGGGCGAGTGCAGGAAAACTTGACCCGCTACAACGGCGTGCGTTCGAGGCCATTATATCGGCCTTTCTGTTGACATTCTATGATGAGGTGGTAGACGAGGAGAACGATGGCTTAATTGAATTCACTGTGATCGAGAAGTATCGCAATACGAAGAAAAACCTGAAACTCTTGAAAGGAGGCGAAGGAACCCAGCTCATATGTCTTGTCCACGGTCCTGGAGGCAGTGGCAAAACTACCGTGATCGACCTTACCACAGCCTACGCACGCTAATTCTGTAAACTGATTGGCTTTGAATTCACTTCACGAACGTTAGTTATTACAGCCTTATCAGGAGTAGCCGCTACGTTACTTAACGGTGAGACAACACACAGTGCTATCGGGATAAACCGGATAACAGTCGAGGATGTTGACTTCTTACAAGGATGGGACGGATAAAGATTGGTGATCATTGAAGAAGTTTCATTTGCGTGCGAAGGCTATATCAACAAGATTTACAAGAACATTCAAGACATCAAGGGAAAAACATTCAAGCCTTTCGGTGGACTTAACATGGTTTTGATGGGAGAATTCTCACAGTTAATGCCACCCAAACGAGATCCTCTTTACAAACGAGAATGCGCTTCTTTTCAAGGTACTCTTAATTCGTATATCGAGTTGGATGTAATGCATCGATTTCGAAATGAAATTCCTTGGGGCGAAAGACTTAAACGTTTTTGAGCGGGAAGCCAACCAGGATGACATAATGTACATCAACCATCACTGTGTCGTGTCAAAGGAACCATAAACCGAACTCCAACATTCAAGCTTGCATGCCACTTAATTGGGAGCGAGACGTGGTCAACACTGACAGTACCAGCAATTCTTGTCGCAAATGCTCCTGCGGATGCTGACAATGTTTACATGGGGGCTATTATGATTTTGATGGACAGCATGGAAATGTACAATGATCACAAGCAGTACGTTCAAGTAACAAGCAACCGCATCAAGAAACACTTCTGGACAAAATGTGGCTAATCGGATTGTGACATGGACAACGGACGTGTTGATCCGGCATTGAAGATGTACTACAACTGCCATCTGATTCTGACAAAGAATGAAGACGTGACCGAATGGACAGGCAAAAGGTTCGAGAGTGTTCCTAGCAAGGTACATGTAAAGCTACGGAGAACAGCCTTTCATCAATCAAACTCTCATTGCGGTTCAGAATCCGTGTCTTCCTGTGAACCAAATTGACAGAATACAGTAAACACGAGATGAAAAGACAAGGGGGGGGGGGGGGGGGGGGGGGGGGGGGGGGGGGGGTGTTGCCAAGATGTTTCGATGTCAAACACACGGAGTGTCACTTCAAGTGCAAGATGAAATCTAAAGGAAAAGATGAGGTTCGACATAAAGGAATCCAGTTTTTTTCCTCTTGTTAGCTAATTCAGCGACCACAGGACACAAGTTGCAGGGATACACAGCATCGACAACTGTTGGTGTGGAACTGGCACTATGCAAGATAATTGTGTTTACGTGGTACTTTCAAGTAGTAAGAGAAATGAAAGGCTCTTCTTGCGAGAAACCACTGTCGCTCGATTTAACAAAGTACAGATGCCAGAGTCGAAATGGTGCATATGCTGGAAACTTTCAGTCGCTACATTCACTTCGATACTCTTTCCGCGAACAATTACGATGAAATGTTACAGTCGTAAGCAGCATTCAATTAACAAATTCCAAATAACTTATACAAATTCGTACTCTGACTGTTCAACATTGTTCATCGGGTTTTGAACTTCAATGTACAGAAGTTGACGTATTCCTCGTTCCGTTTCCATGACAGTTACTGGTACGTTAACGGTTTCGGTGACGGTACCGGTACCGGTACCGGTCGCGGTTACGGTCGCGTTACCGTATGTGCACGCACACACCTGTACAGACGTTAAAACCCGTTAAATACAGGTTTCGTACTTACGGATACACATGACCGTTGATTCTGCAACTGAAGTGCGGGTACACTATTTTACACAGTAAACGCGAGCGAATCGGTTTCGGAGTGCAACTGAGGGGGAATCTAAAAGGAGCGTCGTCTCGAGGAGACGTAATAGGGACCAAAGCAATGACACCCCCAAAACAACCATCCTTTGCCTCCGCGAAATGGCGAATATTGTACATGGTACCGAATGGAGTGTCCTTGATTCGCCAGCCTCTTGTGCGCAGAGTGAGAAGTCACGATTTGATTCCCATGGGTGCGAGATCAGTAGCCTTATTATTAAAAAAAAAGGAGATTACAGCAGCTGCGGCACCCGGACGTGGATCCTGGTCTCCACTGCTGTAGTATCATTGGATTGGATTCGATTCACACTTATCACCCCGGTGATATTGTGTCTCTGATAATCCGAGCGACGAAAACTGCAGCAACAGGTTTAGCTCTTGCTTGCCCCTCTTGCTTGCCCCTTACCCTGCAGTCTGAGCTTGGTTGCCCCCCACCCTTCATGATAGGTATCAAAGTCGTCGAGCAACCAGCTCAAAATGTGTCTGAAGAAAACACGGCCCCCAAACTGAAACTTCTCCGAACAGTACTGTACGGCAGCACGAGAAACATGCCAGAGAAAGAGAAACTTGATTGAGGCTGCACTGGTGAAGGCCTAACGAGAGAGTCATTTTTAGTAGCTCTGAAGGCTTTCAAGAGATTTAAAAGCACTCACGGTAATTAACAGACAGGCCCCTCAAATTTTTTGAATTTCAAAAGCGATGTGGCATGTGCAGTTTTCATGTGAACTCACCCCTGCTTGGGCGTTTTCCTCACAATTGGATTTCTAGTTACTCTCTCTCTCTTCATCATCATCATGGAAGAAGTGACCATGAACGATTGCACCTGTCCCTTCGAGCCCTGGGGCCGCTACTCGGCTTCGGGTGGCGTGTTTTCTCGTGGTGTCAATGGTACCGATATCGCCATGTATTCCTTTGGAGGCGATACTGGAAGTCATGCGGACGGTCTGGGCGGTGTGGTCCTCACCCACTGGAAATATCCACTCAACAACAACAACAACGGCTGCAACTGCTGGGAACGCCTCGCCGACAGTCCCGTGGAAGTAGGCTATCGAGGCACAGCAACTCAAATAGGAGATTTTGTGTATATTATTGGAGGTTCCGATCGACGTCGTCAAGCCATTGATCAGATTTGGCAGTACTCGCTCTCGCTGGACACGTGGACGCTGGTGGACAGTCAACTTCCGACACCGCGATGGAGGCATGCCGCAGTGGCCATTGACGAAACGCGCATCTTAATTACGGGAGGACGACAAGGGCGGCTGGTCTTGTCGGATGTTTGGATTTTTGACACGGCCAATCTCACGTGGACGCAGCTCGAAGATGTTATGCTTCCTCCCATGTATCGTCATGAAATGAGTTTTGACAAGGATCGTAATTTTGTCTGGATTTATGGAGGTCTTGATCAGACATTGGCGCGTTATCCCAGTACGCTCTGGCAATTGCGCCTCAATTCCCAATCCGTCGTGGAAATTGTCGCCGACACTACCGTGAATCCGTTACCACCGCGTTTGGCGTCGCACATGATGGAGTACATTTCCCATTTGGATGTCGTCATTCTCTGGGGTGGAGGCTGCAGTGATGACGCGGAACTACACGTCTATGATATCCAAGAAAACACCTGGTGCGGCATTTATCCTGCTAATCGACCGGATCGCCGAGACGCCATGCTGTGGTCGTTGCACTACCCGTACATTTACATGGCGCAAGGAGATATCATTTGCTACAATCGACAAGTTTTGCCCATTTCCGATGTCCACGTGCTCGATCTTACCACCCACAATGCGTGGGAAATGCTCTACGAACCCTTCAATTCCAGAGGCACCGGACGGGAACCCTACTGCAATGGCAGTAATAATGGAAATTGTCAGCCGAATCCTCTCTTTGGTGATACAGAGAATCGAGGCAGCACCTGTTCTGACGAACTGTTGGCACGGTTTGCTGATCCGAGTTTGCTGGCAGAGTACGAGGAGGAGGATTTGTTGCTCTCCAAAGCAGAGGAGTACCCGTCTCCAAAGTCACTGGTGAATGCCGAAGAACCAATGATGATCACCTCCGGAAGTTCCTTTAGGCACGGCCCGGGCATGCTGCCTGTCGTCTTGTCCATTTTGTTGTTGGTTTTGACAAGGCGTCGTGGATAAACAAACAAACAGCTGTTGGTGAGTATCCTTTCTGTTTCGCTACTGTATCCAGCGTAGTAATTAAGAAAACAAGAACAAGCCTATAAAAGAGCAGTGAAACCTGGCTCCTGTGAAGATTAGTATAATGCAACACAAGTCTAGTAGTATTTTAGATTTCAGTTACTATTCTACCAGGTACTATCACGAGCAGGATTGGCGGTCTTTGTAGAGAAATCCTCCAAGGAAAAGGATCTTGGCTGGATGTGCGAATTGGTTACTATAATACTTGATGAACCAGGAAAGAGTCGAGTCGAATCCAACTATGGGTAATTGAGGACTGTAGCTCGGCTCAATCCATGATGAGGTTGTTGGCATTTCTGGAAGCTCCCCGATGACATCGTGGGTGCATTGCATCTGCAGCTACCGGACACTTGCAATCGTCCAGAACAAAACAACGGCATCGTGATCAAAGGCGGTACCTGGTACTTACTACATGTAATCTGCCTCTTCCAGAAGGTGCACAGACCCAAGACTTTGTGTTTTGTGGCAAGACGTCCAGGTGAGCAACTGGCGGCACAAGTCCTCCCTTGAGCCTTTGGTTGGAGAAGACTCAACAGAGCCCGCCAAGATTTGAAGATGGTTGCAAGTAGCTAGGAGCCAATCGAGGGTCTCGGCAGAGTCAGCGGCATCAACATGAGCTTGCTTCTTCCAAATAGCTCTATTGGAATCTTGTCTACTAGAAGTTTGTTACTGTATGTTGTTTTCTATCCATGGGGCGATCCCATAAAGTATATGCACCGATAAAAGTAATACACACCGTACAAAAAAAGCCACGTTCTTGCGCGGCGCATGTAAGTATGCTTTGTCACCCTCTTTAAGCAGCCGACGACACCATCTTGACGGGCAGCATCTTGTGACTTGAGGACAAGGTAGCGCTGGACGCCCGTGACGAGGGAAGCTTGGTGGGCGGAACGTCATCATCGTCTGGCATCAGGACTTGTGGCGGAGTAAAGCAAGCAGCATCACCCAGCGGAAGATCATCGCTGACCAGCATGCATGACGCTGGTATGAGCCAGTGGGCATCCGAGTCTTGCAGGGCAGTTTCTGTGGATGTCAAGGCCACCGCCTCCACAAGGAGGTCCATCTCGTGGAGACTGTCTTCGTCTTCATCGCCCAAGAGACTAATAGTATCATCATTGTAGTTGCTGCCCTGCGATACCCCCATGGTCGGCAAGAAAAGGTCAAACAAAAAGTCCTCGTCGCTTTGCTCAAAAAAGACATAAGTATCCAGCTGCATGAGCAGATGTTGCATCTTCTTGCACACCTTGTCGATACTCCATCGCCTTGAGGGATCGTGCTCCCAGGATTGCAGAATGATGCTATCCAGCTCTTCCGGTAGATAGTAGCACGCCAACGGAGGTCGTTCCCCCGCTTCACAGGCATACTTTTGGTGCTCCAACGGAGACATTCCCTGGTAGGGTTTGCGCTCCATGCAGAGTTCCCAGAGAATCATACTCCAACTGTACACATCAGCCTTTTCCGAGTACTGTCCCGTGGTCCAAATCTCCCCCGCCATGTAGCGCCGCTTGCCCCACAATGGCTCCTTGAGATCCGTGCGTGTCGATTCCGTGTCTTGGGCATGTCCCAAATCAAAGAGCTGCACGCAATGAGGATCGTCGTGTCGAAAGCCAATGTTGGCGGGCGACAAGTCTCGTAGAACAATCTTCATCTTGTGACAGGCTTGGATTGCTTTGGCAATCTGAAAGGCGTAGTTGGCCTTCATGGGGATGCCTTCATCGTTGGGAATCTCCGTGTCGTCGTCCTTGTCTTCTTGGCGATCTTCTCCGTAGATGGCCGTGTAAAAGGCGGTGCTGTTGTCCTTTCGGATAGCGCCCTGCTGTTGCCATTGGTGAATACGGTCTTCGAGTGTTTCGGAATGAAGGCGATTGGTGAGAAGGAAAAAGTCCGAATGGACCGGCAAGAGCGTGGAACACAAGCCTCGCAGCGAGACAATGTTGGGATGGTCGCCCAGTTTCGTCAAGATCGTGGCTTCGCGAACCAACAGCTTGAGAGCTCGGACCTTCGTTTGCTTGTCCCGTGAAGCTTCTTTCTTGTCACTGAGGCGCTTGACCGAGTACAACTCTGGATGATCCATGGTCTTGGCAAAGCCTTGGACACTGTGGTACGCTACTCCAGTCGATGCATGGGAACCCTTTCTCCAGATCTTGCCCAAACGGATATCTTCCAGAGACATGAGTACCATGCTCTTGTTGTCGTTGGAACGAGACGGATCAGACGTGGTCGTCAGCGCCGTGGCGAGATCCTTCAGGTCTAATTCCAAGCTTTCGGATTCAGGTACGACTGTTGTCGCAGCACCACGCTTCATCCAACGACGGAACCATGCCTTTCGTTTGGGCTTGTTGTCGGTTGCAAGAGATGGAGTAAAGTTTACGTTGACAGATGGGAGTGTCATGGTTTCTCGTTCAAATTATATTTGTTGCTTGTATGTTCTCGTTTTCAGTTGATGGCAATGAAATGACTAAATAGTCCGCTGCGTGCATCTCTCCGGTTGAAGGAAAACTGCTTTGTTTGATGTCATCAATCCAACCAGCAATAGAAGAAACCCCTATTGAATGCACCGACTTGTGGGATTCCTACCTTGCCAGACAGAAGGAAGATGATCCTTTGGGAATGATGAGAGCAGCGTCAAGCGTCAAGGCTTGCTTGTAAGAGGGCTACAAAGCGGGTCCCTCGATGTGCATGAGGGTTTCCGCACCAGCAAGAGCGGAAAGGAAACATGGACTGAGAAGTGCTTCGCTTCTGAAGGAAGGGGTCTGCACTCTGAAATCATTGGCTTTGATTGGTTCTTTTGGAGTCCCGGAACCTTGCTCCTCATTTATTGACTTCCCCAACGCCAGCTTTTCGAGAATCACAGCCATAAGCCCCAGCTGCCCCTGTCACCCAGCCAGGTTCGGCACCGTTACACGAAAGGATCAACCGCCTAAGACACGATCCCACCAAACGCGCTGGCTCCGAGCATCGAGCACTTCTGGTGTCACACTCAACAGCGAGTATCTTCCTGGCAACTGTTCCACAGCGAAAAATCCTGATGTCTTGGGGTTGGACGAACTTGTAACTGCTGTAGGGCGGTAGGGTCGTTTGAATGATGGTATTCGAGTACTCGTACCTTTGGGTAGCAACCTCAGTATGGAATCCTGGTTTTGGTTAGGGTCGTTGCTTCCTTTGAGGGCAGCGCAGAGGAGTACATGTACGATGTAGTACAAGAAGTTAGCCTGTCATGTGGCCATCCTCTTTCATTGGTTTGCTTCGCATCAGCATACTAGTAGTAGCTATCTCTCTTTGCACACGCTCGACGCTTGTGCATACGGTACTCTTATTACATAAAACCATAGATGGTGCTCATGAGGCCCATCCTCTCACCACCAGGTCATCGCTATGCTCAGCTTGCACAGAGTTGTCTTTTTCCCAATCTACTGGAGCTGCTATAGAGTCACCTAGCTCTAGATAGCTATTATAGCATGTACAGAATTAGGGGGGTGGGGAAATCCAGTGCCATCATATGCCAACAAAGATAAACCATCACCAGCACAATAATGGCAGACATGGTAAACCATACTCAGTACAATTTTCTTTACTGTCTTTTTCGACATTGGTAAACATCGGCTATGATACGTGCTACCGGTAGCCAGCCGGGCGAAGCCAGTCGAGTTCCCGCTGACGCTTGTATGACGACTAGCCCAAAATTGCATTGCGTGATCGGTGTAAATAATCCCGCTTTTGCTTTCCATCTTTCCACGTATACCGTAAATTTTTGATGTCTTGTAGCAAAACAGCATCAGCATTTACGTGACTTCACTTCCGCTGACAATTGGGAACCGAACCATGTCAAATGTCTGGACAGTATGACATCACGACATGACCACATCGGTTCGCACCCTCATGAATTGGGCATTAGCGGCCCGGCGCGCTGAAGGGTAACTGCAATAATATTGCAGCAGATTGCTCATATCTTTCCGAACGCAAAAGCATCCACCATGGCCATAATACCGGTATTGTCAAAGCAACAAAGCAGTCATATACTCTTCCTGTTGTGTTGAAGAAGCTGTGTGTGTTTTCAGCGCTTCATTTGATGCTCCCATCATCATGTTTTCCTCTCCGGAGTCACCTCTCCAGTCCTTTTCGTCATTGTTGTTGTTGCCGAAATTGTTGTTGTTGCGAGTTGGCCGAGCACATGATCATTCGTGGAAACATAAATCTTTTGTTGGAGCCGGCTGGCGCCTAATGTACCTCATGAACCGATGTGTGACAGTACTATCCATACAATAGTGAATCGAATCGAATCATGGATTCCCTGTGGGCTGAGTGTTTAGGTGTGATATCCGGTAGAATGCTTCGAACAAAAGATTCTTCAACTTCTAAAAAGTGAGTGGAACTGTGGAAGCCAGTACAGTAAAAAGGCTTGAACGACAGAACGACAGTGAACCCCGAACTACCGTAGGGTCAGTGTACCGGACGATGTACTAGCTGGCTAGCTGGTACCACACCGCCCATACTTTTACGGTATGGCATACCAGATACCAGATACCAGGTACCATGGTACCTGGTACCAGTACTGGTTCACCGCACCGAATGCATGGATGAATCGTCGAATTGAATCGAATCAAACATTTTGCATTACAGTAGTTCATATCGCTGCATTGCCATCACATGCACGGAGTTGCTGTCGGACAGCTAGCCATGGCAGGCAAACGCGACAAAAGCAGAGTGCCTCGACTCAGCCCCCTATTGCATTGACCGTAATCTTCTTCAGTCGAGGGGGACTCCCTCTTCTCTGCCGAGTCAGAAGCCCCCCAAGGTTCGTGGTAAGGTGCTCAGGTTGGAATCCAGGTGTAGCTTGGTAACTGCAGTAACAAAGCTGTACGCTGCAGGAAGAGAAATCTTACAGTCGTCTTCCCTCTACACCAACCAGCACCGTCGCCTTTTTCATTTAAGCTCGACAAGATAAGCATTCGCGGATTGTGGTTGGGATCGTCTCGATGCATCCATTTCTCGCAGCATTCCAGGGTAAGCTAACAGGAGGGCTCTGGGAACCTGGTTCAGGTTGTAATCTCATTCTCACGGATCCAACCTCTGCTTTTTGATCTGGATGGCAATCGACTCCATGGAAGCTGTCACCGTGATGTTGGCGGTTTCACTTGCCGTTGCGTTGTTGGCTTCATCCAACTTTGTGGCGTTGTACTCCACAAACGTAATCGAGCTGTTGGTGGTGGCATTTATTATGAATGCGCTTGTCGTCGTCGTGTTGGTATAATTCAGAGAAAGTGCCGCTGAATTATGAGTAATAGTGTTGTTGTTTATTATTGCAGCGAGATCCGTTCCATTGTAGCTCTCCACTACAAGGACCTCGCTGGTTGGCGCTTGTGTATTCTTGTCGCTTTCATTCGAAATGGTTGTCGTATTGGTTTCCGTTGTAGAGTTTACGGAATTGTCATTAGTGGCATCGTCCCGAACTGGAAATTGCGTGGGAACCGGAGTTGGGGTATGCAGGAAAATATTTCCAGAGTCCCCTTGAATGCCTTCTTCTTCTTCTTCATTGTTGTTGTTAATTGGATTGTCCTGATGAAACGTCGCAGGAGAACCAATCATGGTGGGTGCTAGACTGCTAATAGTCGACACAATGGGAGATTGCGTGGGACTATCGGTAGGAGGATCCGTGATCCAAAAAATGTCAATGATTGGTTTGTCGTCACTCCCGACGGTTTTTCCATTATTCCCACCACCACACTGTCTCGAACTGCAAACCTCTCCAATCGTAATGGCCACGATCGTGCACATGATGAGAACAACGGCTGCTAGAATGACGTTGGAACTGGAATCGAAACACCCGTCTCGTCGTCTCCGTTGTGGTTCCGTGTCATTATTCGTCAAGGGAATGTGCTGTGGCTCTTGCTGTGGTGGTGGTGGTGGTGGTTGTTGTAGTGGTGGTGGTTGACTGCGAGTACCCACATTAGTATTGCCTTCATCCCAAAAGATATTGAGAGGCTCAAAATAATCGATAGCTGCCTCCTCGTCCGCCGCTTCGTAGAATCGTTCTCGCATCCTCACGGGCGCTTGTTCAACACGTTGATCCGGGTGCTCCAATACAGGAAACAGCAACCGGATGGGTCGGGTGGGTCCATCTTCGGACGGAGCATGTCGTGCATGCGAATACATGATGGCCACGACGTGGGATGATACACACCCAAGCTTCAGACAAACGGCACCAAGATGGCTTAAATTGAGATTCCCTCCACCACCAGCGTCAACAGCTCTACCAGTACATGGATACCAGTCGGTCTCCTATCGAGCTACAGTTCCTTGCCAGACATGCATGTACGCTAATGAAAAAGACCAGTAATGACATGCTGTCCTGGCAATGAAACAAACACACCATCATGAAAGGAGACAAGTCGGAACGAGTTTGCTGTATCGCACGAATGAGGTCTTTGACGACAAAGTGTGCGTCCTGGGGGACGAGAGCGCTCTTGGCCCGAGACGAAGATTCGAAGGAAACGAAGAGCAAGGGCTCAGATTGAGGCAAATAGCTCTATTAATAGTTGGGAGGGGTGGTTCAGCCTGAACTACAGAGGAACTAACGCATTCACATGCATAGTTTCCTTGGCCCAAAGGAGGACCACCGAGAGCAGATGGGCGAGTCAAGTCAGATTGAGGTAACAAAGAGCATTTTGTTATCATTCAACTATGGCAAGTGAGAAATTGTATCGGAGAAGCAGCGTCGATTGCAAAGCCATCTCGACGGGACTGGATGAGTGCTTCGACTCAATTATTCTTGCAGGTGCTTCGGGAACTAGAACCGCGACATTTATTGGAGCAACAGTCGGCGTCAACATTGCACAGCTCTCCAAAAGAACCGCAAGATGAAGTCGGGCTCGGCGTAACTGGAGCAAATGTGGGACCTGGAGTTGGGCTAGAGGTAGGCATTGGAGTCGGATTTGCTGTAGGTCCGGGGGTTGGTCCTGGAGTTGGCTCTGGTGTAGAGACTGGAGCTGCTGTTGGAGCTGCTGTTGTGGGGACAGGCGTTGGCTGGGGTGTTGGAGCTGCCGTTGTCGGGACGGGAGTCGGCTGGGGTGTCGGAGCTGCTGTCGTGGGGACAGGAGTCGGCTCGGGTGCCGGAGCTGCAGTAGTCGGGACAGGAGTTGGATCGGGTGTTGGAGCTGCCGTTGTCGGGAGAGGAGTTGGCCCGGGTGTAGAGACTGTCGGGAGAGGAGTTGGCCCGGGTGTAGAGACTGTCGGGAGAGGTGTTGGTGCTGGTGGAGGACTTGCTTCTGTGAGACAGGCCTGGTTCTGGCCCATGAAAGATGTCTGAGACTGGCTCGAAAAGCCATCCGCGCCAGAGTTCACAAAAGGCTCCATCACATAAGCTTTGTCGCTTGTGGTTGGGTCGTGGTTGCTCCCGCAATTGTGGCCCATTTCCTGAATACAAAAAGGAGATGAAGTGTTAGAGACGCTGTTCATGATGCGTTGCTCGATTGATTTGATTGCTTACATGCGCCAACAAACTGTTTTGAAGGGCACCATTGCCACTGAAAGTCAAGTAGTTGACACCATAGCTTGCACCGAGATTGTTGCAGAGCACTCCGACATAGGCACAACCGACGACGCATCCGTTGTCGCTACATTCCAACCCAGTTCCTCCGATAAAGTGCGCAAGATCGCGTTGCACTGACTGACGATTGTTGTTCCAAAACGCCTGGAACATGTCCAACAATCCCGAGTTGCCGCAGCCAGACTGGTTCAAGTCAACGAATGGTTTATATGGATCCGTATCGGGGGAGCAGAAACCTTCCACATAGACAAGGTCGATGGTGAAGCAAGTCGTGCCTTCGTAGAGTGCCGACACACCTTCCACCGTGGTTGCGAGAGACGCCATCGCATTGTCAAAGCCACCTTTGTTCGCACAAAAAGACGAGTCGAAAGCCAAGGCAAGTTCGATGATCTTCGTAGTGGAGCAGCCACTCTGGAGTTGACGACCGTCATCCGAAACGGCCGTCGTCGCTCGAAGCCGACGAGTGCTCTGGTCGTCGGTCCCGTAGATGAAGGTCGAAAGAGCTTCCTCGTCGTACGCATCGCTGGTGATCTTTGTCATCAAGCCTGGAGCGATCTCCTTGAAGAATTCGGTTCCACACGCAGCGCTGACGATTTGTACAGATTCGATTTGGTCGTCGTTGGGAGGAGGATGCATCGAGGCCACAACCGTCGCGTCGTCGTCGACCTTCTTCCACACAAGGCTGCCAGGGCAAGGGACTTGTTCGTCCTCCATCATACAGGTCGTACCAGAAAAAACATTGGAAGGCTCAAGGCCTTCCATGTCCACCAAGCGACCATCGCACAATAGGAAGCCGGCGCTCGTCTTGAACATCGGGAGTTCCACATCTGGTTTGAGGACGTTGTCGCGAGCAAACTTCTCACGGACGTGAGAAGGGATGTCAACAAAGGACGGAGGCCCACTACAGAGGACAGTAGTAGCCGTCGCAGCGGCGAAGACGACGTAGAAGAGACGAACGAGCATTGTCAAAAGCAGTTGATGAGTGAGACAGTGCGAGTGAAAGTCAATAATCGAGGAGGAAAAGTGGGAAGAGACCGTTTGTGTCTCGGAGCTCTTTCGCAATTTGTTTGAAAAGCCAGCGCGAGCTGCGATTTGAACTTGGTGGGGCGAGAGGCCAGGCCACCCGGAGCAGACGGTCACGTGCTCTGGCAACATTGTACCGTACTGTACGGAAATACATTAGGCAACCAGACCGCAGAGCATGAGAGGAGGACAACGGAGTGGGGTCAGAAAAAGGCACCAAGAAATGCTACCCAGACGAACTCACAGTTCCAAAAATGCAACGGGGAGGTTTTCGCCAGTGGAGGCTGCATGCGTGACATGATTTCTCTGGAGGAAAGACGTACCGGTACCCTACTTTGAAGGCTTTGTCTCGTTCCACCTTCTCGTCGCGTGGCTGCGTTTGGGCCATGGCCGGTCATCGGCCAACGGTCCAGCCATATGTTGGATGTGGAAGGTACTAAGCGTTTTTCGTTACTATTGTTCAACTAAGCTATTAGTCTAATGGATGCTTTCAAGCTCTCGGCGCGATCACTTCAAGATCGGAAATCCAAAAACCTTTGACCTGTCTCTCCCCTTGTTTCGCAGCTACCGGTAGCTAGACATCCGCACTTTCTGACAAGCAGAGTTCAACTGCAGCTTCCACATCTCTGTTGCAAAGCTCCAAGAAATGGCTCACCGTCGATACCTCGAGTGAATTATTGGACGCCAATTTGCGAAACTCGGTCAACAAATCTGCGTCGTTGACTGTTCTTCGAGCCGGCAGGGGGGCGTCGACTTGGCCATTGTCATGATTCCGATGACCATAGTTTGACTGTTCGTGTCCTTCGTGTCCTTTGTCTCCATTCTCGATAGGGACAGCTGGGCCATCATCCTTTGTTGTGCATTGAGTGGGGATCGGATCCTCAGCCGATCGACGACTCTTCTTTTCTTCGGCTGTTGGCAGGTCCTTGATGGCAGTCCCGTCCATGAGTTGACGGCGTAGCTTGACCAAATGGTCCACTTCTTCCCACGTGTCTCCTGTGACACAGGGGAGTACCTTCAAGGGCACGCCTGCCACGGTCCGGGAAGTGATGGGTTCTGAACGCAGCTGTGTGATACAAGGGTGTATAGACAAGTTGGACAGTAGAAACAAAACTGCCATTCGAACAAAAGGTTCGGAGGTTGTATCACGGATGCAAAGCTGCGTAATTGTGCGTGTCAAAGTGGATTCGTCAGAAGATTGCATATTGTCGAGGATGGAAAGGAACAGGTCAACGTCACGATTGCTCTGGAGGATACTGTAGCGGGTGCAAATCTGATGGAGATCACCCCATTTGGCATCGATCAGACTCAGAGATGGATCATCCACCCGACGGCCACGGGCAAGGTGATATGCACGGTAGAGGAAAAAGACGGAATTGTTGTGTCCGTACGCAAAGCATTGACCGTATTCGTTGCGTACCTGGTCCAGTTCCTCTACGAATTCATTTGATCCGGGGTGCGACGTTGCATGAAGTTTCGTCCAGCGTTTTCCAAACTCTTCCTGTGTGGCTGTATCAAAGGAATTCTCGTCGCGACGTGTTCCGTGGAGCCGGTCATATTGGCGATTGGTCTCGCGCAAGGCCTCACAGGAGGTATCAAAGAGCAGCTGGGATTCCCTTGGGTCGCCTACACGTAACGGAGCAAATTTCATTTGGAAGGACTGCATCCGGGAGGACAAGTTCAAAAAGTCTCCCCGCGAGAGTTCATCAAACTCCAGCAAGTCTCCACCAATCTCGTCATTTTCCATTGACATGGCTTCGCGGAGCTCCTGAGCATTTCCTTGGAATACTCCAGTGTGACTACTGAGAGGCGGATTTGGCGTGACTGGGCCATCCAGACTTCTCACTTCGGCGCCATGGTCTACCTCATTGTTATTGTCGTGTGTGACAGTTGATTGCCTCCATTTGTGTACTGCGTTCATAAGACGCCAAGCAAAGACTTCAAGCCGGCACCAGTCTGATTCGAGATAGTTTCGTGATAAGGACACATGAAGGTGAGTTGATTCCCACAGCTCTCTCCACAAGAAGCCATGGTTGGTCTCTGATCTAGATGGTGTTAGGGCATCGAGGAAGAATGAAACATGATCTGCCGTGGATTTTGAAGACTCTGCACTATATCCGAAAGCTGACACATCGAAATTTCTGGTGACCGCTTCAAGCTGACGAGGAGAAAATGACATATGAGACGACAAAGAAACCCCGGTAGGGTGAGGTACAATAAAGCCTTACCAGCCTGGTCTTGAGATCAGGGCCGCGGTGAGAAAGGAACACACGATTTTCTTTTGGGTAGGAAGCTGAAAAGAACATTGTTGCCACCGATGACAGACTCACGGGCCGGAACAACTCGTCGGGTGCATTCAAGATTTTGAAGATTGCTTGGTAGAGTGTGGCCGCAGATTGCAAAATTTCAGAGATGATGTCAATTTTGTCCTTCTCATCTCTAGTGGCAGCATATTCCACATACGCGGGGTCTGCCACGCAGAGCATTATTCGGGCAGAGCACTGCACGAGAACAGCATAGGCAGCAGTAAATCGTTTCGTGGCTTCGATGGAACGGGTTGTAATGGCCCAGCTCTCGTCCAAGTCATCAGTTTCATCATTGGCAAAAAGCTTCGGTTCTATTCGATTGCATTCGTCTTCCAAGAGCATCATCGCGACTGGAGAACAGCAAGAATTGAAGAAGTTTTGTGCATATACTCCATCTTTGTCTGCCAGCCGCTCCATCCGAATGGCATTTTCAACTCCAGGGTGGTCTCCACCGTACTGCCCAATCGCGTCGTGGGTTGTTACAACACTTCGTAGTGTCTTCATAAGCATGGTGCGAAGTGTGTATCCCGTAGAAGCCGAAAACAAATGGGAAATCCCAACATGGTATCTCATGACCCAATTATGGACTGCAATGCATTGTTTCACCATCAGGTAGCCTGCCTGAATGAACTTCCCAAAGGTGAAGCCACCCGACTTGGATCCAAACCGGGAATAGGTCAGAAAGTCGTGGCGACAAGGAAGTTCTTTCAGTGCGAATGAACATGATGATGAACTTACGAGAGCACCCACGGCCAGGTTTCCACCAAACTCCCTGATGTCTTCCAGATCAACCGCTACAATGGAATCAGGTTTGTGCTGCTCTGATAGATAGAAGTGTTTCGAAACGGTCGCTGGTGAATCCAGTTCAATGATCTGAGTTCTACCTTTGTCGCGGTGAAAAACAAACTCGCTAACGGAGGCAAGGTTCCGAAGAAATGGGATATTGGCGTGTTCTGGCTTGGCTGGGATGATTGGAGGCAAAGTTGATTTGAATTCAATTCTGCATGGCATTGTCAACTTATTGGCAGCATCGTAGGCTGCCTTTCCCTCTTGCACCGCTTCCAGAATAGTCAGTTTCCCTTCCAGTACCTGCTTCAAGGCATTTTGATGTCTCAATTTGGCAGTGCTGGCGATCTTGTGATGTGTTTCCACAGCCGAAAGGTACTTCCGCAACTCAGCATGGGCCCAAACAGAGGAATCCTTCGTTGGAATGATCATCGTGGCCCGTCCACCAGTCATTTGCACGATTTGTTCAAAGCTCTGAATAGCTTTGCGATCAATTTGAAATGGTCCAGAAAAGAGCCCTTGGAAACCAGGCAGAGCTACGCATGCCTGCCAAAAGCAAAGGAGAATGCATCTGAATGAAAAGTCCATGATATCTTGCCCTCGAATGGCAACCAAGGCAGCCGATTCGGCAGCATGCCCCAGCATCCAAGGTGCAGTAGACATCAAGTTCAAACCATGCACAGATTGATGCAGCGAACTATTCTCTTGCAGCCGCTGAATGGCACTGGGTCCATCCTGAATGAGTTCCTGCAAGGAGGGTATCCAAGTTGCTTCCTTTTGAGCCACCTGAACAACCAGCAAATGACGATCCATGTGATAGAACGTCTTGAGACGGGAATATGATCTGTTTGGCCCTTTTGCATATTTTGAAATCAGGTTCAACGCTGCTTGATATTGAAATGTCTTGACACACCGATCGATCTTCGTCCAGAGTGCTTTGACTGTCGAACGAAAGAGACATATTTGATAAATTAGTTTGACGCAAAAATTCCGAATCAGCCCGGTTCAAGCAAAGCGGCTATACCGGTAACGAACATAGACACTTACGATCGTGCGCCAGGTTAGATTCATCTTGCACTTCTGCTTTCTGGGCCCCTGCCATTAGCTGAGCCAGCAACTGGGGTTGGACAGCGATGAGGGCTTGGAGCTCTTCCGTGCTCAAGTTGGACAGATCAATAACTTGACCAAGAGATCCCATGGCGGTATGATTCAGCTCCGAGGAGACAATAGTGCATCCACCCAACCACCAAGGTTGTGCTGCGATGGATTTTCTCGAGAACAGAGGCAGCAGCCCTGTCGTGGATACCGATTCGAGCGGCTGTTGTAGAAAAATTTGTTGTTGTTATCGTACCAGTACACGAGAGCAGCAGAAGGTTGGAGGGGAAGTCTAAGTATCCTTCTGGTTTCTGATCGCTGATGCGGGGGTGCAGCTACCGGCAAGGCAGTACCTGGTACCGGTGGTACCACCGCCAGGAAAAAAGATCCAGTTCAAAAGATCCAAGGATCTCACAAGACTTGTAATAAGTGTCCCAGTCTTGGATCTGCAAAGATCATAAATCTCAGACAGTTCTCAAAGCAATAATTCTGCACCCAGCATTCAGAGCCACAGCCGCACCACGACGTCACGATGGTCCATGGCCAGACTGTCAGACTACTACTAGTACTCCACTTGTCCGACTCTTGCCGAAGATGGACAGAGGCGATGAATGCCAGCAACAGCAACAGGCCACTGCTGCGAGCCTCTCGGCAGCGGCCGTGCGTTCTTTCCTCATTGGGAAGATACTTTTGATCCCAAAATTGAAGAAGCTCAAGGCGGCAGGCATGTTCCAGCCCGAGGACCATGCGAGCAGAGTGAGCCATCGCACACTTCGATTTGGTCGCATTCCCTCCAACGCCTTGAATTACGGTGGAATTTATGGATCGGGAGTCCTATTGTTTGAGGGTCACGCTTGGGCTCTCCGAAAGCTACAAGCTGCAGAAGCTGACGAAGAAACGGCCCCGGCCGAGCAATCCGCATTGGCAGGATCGTTTGGGGGGTTCTTGTATTCTATTACCGCCACTCCCGTGGTGTCCCTCTTGCGAATGCCACCGTATGCCAATCAGTCCCTGCTGGAATGGTCCAAGATGGCAATCCTCAAACCACTACAATACACCATTATCAGGGACTGTGGCGGCTTTGCCCTCTTCTTTGGCACCTACACTTTCTTACGCTCAAAATTCAATGAATATCACTCTTCAGCAGACAGCAAACACTTTTGCACACCATTGGAAGCTACGGACAAATATCTACGTGCCCATGATGATTCGGCCATGGATGCCCTCACCAATATTGGCACGGCATTGGTATCGGGGGCGGGAGCAGGAGTCCTTACGTATCTTTGGCGCAGCCCGTGGGATACGTTGTACAAGAGAAGCATGGGATGGCGCCCAGTGGATGCTCCACTGCTTTCCACCGCAAGATTCCTGACATCGCCTCGTGGACTCAAGGCAGTCGTCATTTCAGGAACGACCTGGGCTGTCTATGAAGCTGCTATTCTCGCCGTCACATTTCTAGAAAAGAAGGGATATCTAGAATGACGATTCACAGTGACGAGGTGCACACAAGAACACGATCATAGAATAGAAAGGAAGCATCATGCATTGTGGGGCCAACAATTAGTTTAGAAATCTCTGGATGTCTCCTTGTGAGCGAAGAGATGGTGTCGGAAGGTACCAGGTACTGTCCTCTTGCTTGATCGAGGATATCGCACTGATGAAAAATTCACGGTTAGGATTGTCCAGACAGAAACTTGCTGAGATCCCCAACACCTTGCCTTGGTTGTTGATGCCAACAAATCAGCCTCTGTTGGAATGCTCTTTCGCAGTTGTCCGAAGTCAAGAACTCAAGCAGTTGGAAGATTTGTCGATTGTTGGTTGTTGTTGAACCCAAGCTCAGAGCATGCAACACCGGGGTACCCCAAATCACAAAACCCAAATGGTTGGCATCGAGTATCGCCGGCCGACCTGAGTCGACTGAGTCAAATGTGTTTTAGCGACCATGTGGATCGATGTGGCTTACCCAAATCGGAACTGTTTGGGTAGCCCAAACAGCCAACCCAAACCCATTTGACTCATTGGATTCAAATTTACTTAAGGAGAAGAATTGCCACATCATCAATGACATCATTCTAACGTCACAATAGGAGCGTTGAGGTTCTCTTTCGCGAGCAAGCATAGCCTAGCAGCGAGGATGGTCAACCTCCAATCATTTGGGTTTTGTGATTTGGGGTACCCCGGTGTTGCATGCTCTCAGGTATTTTGATGCAACTCAGTCAGCATTGAGAAAAGTCAAGAATTTCTGTACGTACTCTTGAGATCCGCTCATTTATTCCTACGTGGATCCCGCAAAGCCAAGCCCTTTGGCAATGGTGTCGGTCCTCAATTTAGCTCTCCTGATCCCATCCCAGGAACCTAGACCTAGACTTGTCCCGAATTTCGTCTCTCTTTTGCCTAATTTTCGAGGATGCCTTCCTTTCGAGTGTTTTGCCACCACATCAGCCCTAATTTGCGCTTAGATTTGGTGCCAACTGTTGATCATGCTCTAAGCTAATCCTGGCCCTCGCTGCCTTCGGTAGATAACTACCGTACCCTACGCCGATGTCATACACTAAACACCCTTATCTGATCAACTGTTGAGATTTCTACCTGGTAGACTACCCACTCGTGCATGGGAGATCAAACAGCCTTGGCTGCGTGACACATTTTGGAGGATTTGCGGAACCTCGCACTACTATTCATAGTTAGGTGTACCGGTTCAAGTCATTATGTCACTTTCCGTGTCTGAGTGTTTAAGTGACTGCAGAAACACGATTTATGAATACACAGTGATCGTTGTTGTGTGTCACCTCGAGCAACAGCTACTTCCGCTCACAATTTGCAGCCGACAGGTTCTTTTTGATGGTCTGAATGTCATTCTGTTTGCCACTGCACCTATGCATACCGGTAGCCAGCAATAACTTGGAGACCGATGAAATTCAAGCAGCAGGAAAAGAAGCGCCCCAATGATGCGAGTGGCATCGATTATCTTGGACCACGCCCATCCTCGTTAAGGCGAACGCAGGAGACGACAATCACTCCTGGTCGTCCTCGCGCACTAGTGTCATTCTCGCCATGCTGCAATCTCCTACCATCGTCCACCCCCCTGCAGTCGCAAACGCCAATGTCACAACTCACACAGCCACTGCTCAGCCCAGTGGATCTAACAGCAGGACTTGACGAGCACGAGAACCAGGTTGAGCCGTTGATTGCTCTACTGGAAGACGGGCGCAACCCTCCCAAGGAACAATCAATTGAGATTCGAGAGGACACCGTGGCAATCGGAAGTGATGACACACGCTGCAGAATTTTTATCCGTAGCAAGCATAGGCGTGTGAGTCGTGTACACTGTGAGCTTTCCTTCTTCGATGGAAGATGCTCTTTATCAGCAAAATCCAAGTGTTGGGTTCTCTCATACAACAACAACCAATGGACACCGATCAAAGCTGGGCGCGGGTTTCCAATTTCACATCGGAGTCGGTTGAGGTTGGTACGTCCTGGTTACAAACAAGAGGATGCTAAGGATGGTGGAGTTGAGTATATTGTCCATCTCATGGCCACGATCCCCGGCGGCAACCCTGGATCGCATTCGTTTGATCTCCAGTATCTCCATCTACTGGAACAAATTGAGCTCCATGGCGTCTTGCAGACAGCCAATAAAAAGGGGCCGAATCGTGCGCTACCAAAAACTTTTCCATTTGACATTGACTTGCATGATCCCACAGGACAAGATCGGAACCTACTGCCAATAACAAGCCTTCGTTCCCTATATGGTGGACGCCCAGCACTTGTTGAGGCTTTGTGGTATCTACGTGGAGAGGATCACATTGCCTATCTTCAAGACAACAATTGCCCATTTTGGGACCGGCAAGCAACCAAGAAAGATGATGTTGATAATTGGCTTGGCTTGAACTATGGATTGCTTACAAATTTTCCACAGCCTAATGGCCAAGGGACATACAATCAGTTAGAGGAAGAGGCCATCAAGCCTCTATGCAAGCATGGCTCCAGTTCCCGAAACATGACTTGCTCCCTGTTCAAGCCTGGTGAAGAAACAGTGCAAAGAGCTTGTACATCTAGTATTCAATTCTCAGTTTCCACAAATAACAATATTGAGTCATTGAACCTGACTATCAATCAACGTTCGTCTGACACAATTGTTGGGCTTCCTCATGATGTTGTGGTATGGAGCATAATCCTTCATTTGGTATGGAGGGAAGTGTGGATTCGGTCGCAGCGCAAATTGCATGCTGGAACCTTGTCCTTTGCCATAGTTCAAAATTGTGCACATGTCTACCAAATCAATGATGGTGCCTTGCATGAGATTCTGCAGCGAAAACCCAAACCTGAGTGCCAACCATATTTGGTCATAGATGATGACAAAAGTGGAATATTTGATCTGGCAGCGGCCAAAAAACCTCCGGTGTCATTGAGGATTGCAAAGTATGCTCACTACCACCCAAGCATTAGGTTGCAGGTAGCTGAGGACAAGAAGGGATATCAGCAAAAATAGGATTCTTTGCTTGTGAACCTTTTCGCTGTACATTTCCAGCTGTGCAGCGTGTATGACTGAACATTGTATGGTTTGGAGACTTGAAGAATTTGAGGCGTCAATTTGTGTGGTGTGAAGTTTTCTCTAGCTCTTTGGAGATGAAGTAGCAACTGGCTTGTTGAAGATAGAAACAGCATCCATGCTTTCAAGGATGTGTCGTTGCAGCTAGTAGCTATTTGTGTTAACCAGTGTTCGCAAAGTTGCGTCGAACAACTAGCCAATCCGTAGCCTTGTGGCGATAGTACTGTACCTTCGAAGAAATGCTCCCAAGGTAGGTGAGCTTTCAGAGGGATGCTGGCGTTTCCTTGACGTTCGTTCAAAACTGTCATTTGATGTGTTGTTGCAATGGCCGAATGACAGGTTCTTCGCGTATCAGCATGCCATGGATGTCCACGGCGGGGTACAACCCAGCTGGCAACATGACAAGACAAACATCAGTTGTGCTGAGAGTCCCGTGATAGGGTCGAAACATGGGCCTCCACACCCAGAACTCTGAGAGGCAGGGAGTTTTGTGTCTTTCAAAAGCTCTCACTTCTTGCTTGTTGATAGATTGGATGACAATTGGACGACATTACAAAGCAGCCTCGTGTTGCGCAGAGCCCAGCCGCCCGGACACCACATTTAGAAAACCCTAAACTGAGCGTTAGGGCTACACGTAGGTACCGAAGATGGGTGTCCGGGTGTCCACGTGTCCAGCAACGCCGGGAAGACTCGACTCAGAAACAACGGTCGGCGGCATCAAGAACCAAGAAACTCCAACAACCACGCTCATAACTTTTATCGCTCATTCTAGTGCATCGCACGGCAACAAAACAACAAAGGTAGCACGCTTATCGAACCATGTCGGGCAAGCAGAATGATAGTAAATCTACAGACGTTTTGATTCCGACGGTTACTCCTCCTCATATCGATAGTTGCAAGAAGCGAAAAAGCGATAGACCTCAAGATGACACAAAGAATCTTCGTCCTTCCACGGCGAGACGCCGTCTTATCAGTAATGACAATGATGCGGAAACGAGAGAAAATAGAAATCCCGATTCTTGCCATGTCGGCACTCAGGAAGCCTGTTTGGTGCCCACAGACAGCGATGCATCGTCGACCATTCCATTCTTCCAGCAGCTCACGCAGCCAGTTGCGTATACCCAAGACCTATCTGCAGGGCTCGACGACCAGCAGCAACAGCCGACTTTGCTTGGATTCTTGGAAGACAATAATGCCCCCAGTACAAAGAAGGAGATTCGCAAGGACACTGTGGTCTTGGGACGCAGCCATTCCGCTGACGTTACTATCGAAAACGAGAGTGTGAGCCGAGAACACTGCAAACTTGTCTTCTCTCCAGACAGCGGAACATGTTCTCTGGTCCCACTAAAAACTTGCTGGATTAAGCACGATAACCGATGGCATGCGGTAGCAGAAGACCGGACGTCCCCACTGCCCCATCAAGGACGATTTCGCTTGCTCCCGCCAGGAAAGGCCACGGAAGCCAACTGTGAAGGAGTCGACTTCACCCTCGTCATTACAGCAACGGAAATAGAAGAGCCTCCCGCTCCAGGAACACATTCCTTTGATGTACAGTATCTGAAGCTGCTCAGATCAATAGAGCAAGATGGTGTCTGGAAGGTCAACAAGAAAGGTTCCAACCGAGCACTGCCGAGATTGTTTCTCCTGGATATTGATTTGGGAGACCCTAAAGGTGAAGATCGAAGTTTGCTTCCAGTGACATCTCTCCGCAGCCTCTATGGTGGACGTGCCGCTCTCATTGAGGCTTTGTGGTATCTACGTGGCGAAGATCACATCCAATTTCTACAGCAAAACAAATGCCACTTTTGGGACAAGCAGGCAATCAAGAAAGGAGATGTGGACTGGGTTGGATGGAGCTATGGCTTGCTTACCAATTTCCCACAGGCAAATGGAGATCAAAAGGGAATCAATCAGCTGGAGGAACGAGTGA